GTCTCTCTCTCGTCTCCTCCTCTCTCCTCTCCCCTCTCCCTCTCCTTCTCTCTCTCCCTCTCCCCTCTCTTTCCCTCTTCCCATCCCGTGTCTTCGGAGAGTCCGAGAGTTATATAGAAACTGCAAGCAGCTGACCACTCTCAGCCGTGTATCGACAGAAGAGAAAGAAATTTTTCGTATCGCGATTAATAAGTTTTATTACACACAATTTGATGAGATTGAGCTCGTTGCTCCTCGCAATTGCATTAATCGTGCTGATTGATGTCGCTAGGTGGAAAACATCAAACAAAAAATTTTCTCTATATTACGTTACATAATATATCTTATAATCATTTTTGAAGAAACAAAAAAATAGAGATTTATCGGGACTTGCCGAGAATCATTTCATTGCCCGCAATGAACAATGATCCATGTGTGAATGCTGGTTGCGTGAGAAACAGAACGAATGTATACCTTTAGTCTTTGCAGCTAACATCCTGTACACGCATATGAAACTTAATTCACGTAGCATCGCGAGCCAAGTGTAATCATGTTTCTCTCCGGCAACCAGTCTGTCGAGAAAGTGGTTGCAGTGAAAAGCCAACTAATTAATCACGCGAGTCTTGGACAAGATCGAAAAGCAAACGCGAATGGTTAAACGAGGCACAACGCACACACTCAGTCGACTTACGCGTCACCCCATGCATATTGCGTGATTGCTTCTCTCTTGTGCTCTTCCTGCTTTTTTATTCGTAACTGTAAGCTCCCTTTATTTAAACGCAATGATATCCTCTAACATACATGATAAGAACAATAATGAAATAAAATATATAAATATTAAAGTAACAAACATGAAGGAAGATACATAAGAAATAATGATAAAGGTAATAATTGTGCAAGTTTATGATTACTTGTTCTTTCATAAAAAAAATTCTTTACATACTAACGTATAATTAATTTTATTTTTTAATATTAACATGTGTGCAATTTTGCTATTGTTTTAATTTCAGACTCCGTTTATTCCGCAATATTAGTAAGAATTTTCATCCGTCGATTTTTCATTTCTTTATATCTTTGTATTTTAGTTTTTCTTACTACAGAATCGAGTCTAACGAATCATTTCTGCAGAGTTAACTAAGAATTTCTTGATGTTATTCGATATGATTGTCAATTACAGGTGGGTCGTGATATGCGCGTGGTGGTGCATAATGACCAGAAAATGGACAAGATTGAGAGCCGGCAACTGCAAGGAGGATAACTTTGGATTGCAGCAAGGATTTTCAACCGTCACCGCCGTCGCGGCTTGGGGACTCCCCGCCGCACACACTATCGCTGTGCTGGTCACAAGAGACGTCGATGCTGACGAATTAACCGGTAAGTTCTGTCGAATGCACAGAACAGATTGTAGGAAATTACGAAATTATCAGGAACATTTTTCCAAGCATTTCTGTTACTTTGCATGCATACAAGTTAAATTATATAATTCTTTTTCAATTTCATTTTTAAATTATAAAATTTTCATTTTAACATCTTAATTTTTGAAGTAGAAATTTTTAAAATTGTGGCAAAATTTCATATAAAATCTATTGTTCAAATTTCTAATTACTACATTGGATTCCCGATTCCAAAGTCTAAAATGTAACTGTAGATTTGAATTCATTATCCTAGGAAATCTCGCGAATATTGTAATATTATAAATCTTTGTTTAAATTTAATCGGTTCCTTTTATGAAAATAATTTTCTATCTTGAAGCATTTTTCATTTCTTAACAATTAAAGTTATAGTTAAAGTAATCGAATTTTCGAGATTGCGTAGAGCCAGTATATGGCCGCGAGTCCATAACAGGCGATATTAGAATTCGCGCTGGTCAGTAAGAAGAGTGCCCAGAAGGTTTTACGGTCACGCCTCGTTATGCCGTTTGTTTTATGAGGTTCTTTCATTGGCGTAGTTAGAATTGTGGGATCGGGTTTACTCGCGCAAATCTTTTACAGTTTTTGATCAAAGTTTTTTTATTCTTACTTATCTCTGCACTGATCTGTTTTTATCCCCATCTGCTATTGTTCTTTTCTCTTCACCCATCATAATTCGCGCGATCCAGCTGAGAGTATTTTACGCGCCGTTTTCTTTCGTGTTTATGTTCTCGATAATGTAAGAAGGCGGTCAACCGAGATTAGTATCTTGGAATTAAATGACCGGTCCATGCAGCACGCAACGACGCAACCTTCGTTCACTGTTATCATCATTATATTTATTCTTGACATAGGGATTATAAAATATAAATTATTACAGTACAGTGAATTAGAGATATTAATTATGAAATAAAATTAAGAAATGTCATCTCTATTACTATTAAACCTATTCTGTAATTACACTATCCTACATGGGCTTGTTGTTTGCAAAAGAAGTTTTCCGTAGTTTTTTTTTGTGCACTAAGTCTGAATATAGCCTGAAAAAATGAATACTGATTACATCAGAAATTAAAAAAATATCAAATAAATTATTCAAGGACTGCATTATGATGCTCGCTGAATTTGCATACTTTTATAAGCAATCGAGTCAATTTGCTGGTGGTTTGAGAAGTTACGAAGCCATTTGCGCGCACAAAGAAACGAGCACGATTAGTTCGAGATTCTTTCTTCGCTTTCTTCTCTCTCTCTCTCTCTCTCTCTCTCTCTCTTTCTGTGTCTTTTCTAACAGACGACATTCAATGCAAATATTTTCAAACTTGCTCCGCAACTTGTCACTGTTCGCCGATAAGAGTTAAGTATTTGAAAAACTCGAGAATCTTTGCACAAGAGATCTTGGTAGGATTTATCGCTCTCGCCTTTTTTTTATAAATTAGATTTCTAGAACTTTACATTTTACATTATCGTAATATAATCTCGCAGTCTGCTGCGCATGATTTAATACAAGACACGACCATGTGTCGCGTAACAATAAAATAAACAAATTTAAATGTGTTTTGGAAATAATTTGTATCAATTTGTATTCTTTTTCTTTTTTTGTTCTAGCAAGTTGTTTCGTCGGCCAGCAAAATACGCATTCTCTACTTGTATTGGTGTTAGCGCCACAATTCGTCTATTTGTCGTTCGGGACGACGTTTTTGTTGGTCGGCTTGGCGTCGTTGGCGTTACCACGACGTCCGACGGTGACGCCAACATCAACGTCGTTGACTACAGCGACGTCGGCGTTAACAGCGTCTCACACGAATCCTTTAACTCGTCAGCAACGGGAAGCGCCCGGCAAATTGTCTCCGGTGAAAATTTACCGGCGGCAAAAGCAGCTGTTAACGCGCGTAGGCATATTTAGTTGTCTTTATGCTGGACTGATGATCTGCATCACCAGCACGACCTTCTACGAATGGTGGGGTAGAGAAACGTGGCTTCGAGCGCCGGAACCATCGACGGCGCCGCGCGCGCCCGCTCGACCTCTGCTGCAATTCTTCGTGCTGCGATTAGTGATAACTCTCGGCACTGGCGTCATAACCGCCGCGTGCATTTGGTGGCCAGAAGTAACAAGTATGTATCGTAAACTACTGCACTGCAAGCAATCGCCACACAAATGCCCTCCATTGCCATCCGTTGTGCATTGTTACAACGCCGGCGGCACCACCGGCTCCGTACCTCACCAGATTCATCATCTTGGTCATCTTACGCCACCGCAGCATCCTTTGTTACATCAACATACAATGACGAATTCGCAGATACCGTACAGAAACCATAAAAAATATCGAAAACATCGGAAACATCATTCCGGCAGTGAAACACAGGTTTGATAATTTGGCGAGATTCGCAAACGTGTGAACATCATTATTTGTCCCGAGTATGTTATCGTGTACTGACTCTGTGACAGATAGAAGAGTGATATAAATGTAACATAATCTTCGCCTGTGGTAATCTCTCACGTGCACGTAACGTCATCTAAATTATTTAACATTTATATTGTTCACTAATCCCTCGTCAAATATTTTTCCTTTTGTTCTACAAATGTGACATAACTGATAAATTTAATCGCGGTTTTTTTTATCCATTTCAGGTTAATATTCAAGGTCACAAATCATTTTCAATCTCTGATTGAAAGTATAAATAATTACATATTTACATATTCATAGATTGCTTTAGCTATTTGAGTTAATCTTTCACAAAGATCTGAATTCTTGTTCAAAAAATTATGAATATTTAGAATTTATTATCTGTAATTAATCTTTGTGATTTTTCCACTAAAATTTGTAGCTGTTAATCTTTAATTATTACAAACACAAAATATTGTGCATACACACGCATCATAGGAGACGAGATCTCGTACCTTGGTTCTGTGAGAGAGATGTATTCTGGCATGATACAATCTTTATTTAATACCATCCGTTGTAAGGAAATAAATTCCACTAGGTATGTGTATATAGTGTCAATTTTACTTAATTTTATTAATATATTTATATCCTCGCAAGTAGACACTCGTGTACAACTTGACACGGTAAAGCGTTATTTTTTTCTCCTGAATTATGTACATACTAGAATGTGAACTTATATCCATGCAAATTTAATAACATAAATACGCGAAATGATAAAAAGAAACTTTGCAGATAACACATTATGGCAGTATCACATTGGATAAGAGAAATATTGGACAATATTTCTGGACAAAACTAATTCGGCATACAGAGCACCGATGTTCTCGTGAAAGTACTCTCTACATACACCAGTTAATCCTTTTCTCCTTCTTCGTAGTTGGTAAAATTTTTATCTTATTGTTAAAATCATATTTTTTTCCGAAATATGCCTTTAATTGTATATTATCATAGATAAATACAGGGAAAAAAATAATAATATCGATATTAAATATAATAATATTCTAATAATATTAATATAATAATGTATTACTAATATAATTAATATTAATATTAATATTATTAGAAACTTGACTTACAATATGTTGTATTCTTTTCACTTGGGCTCAATCACGAGCTTTGCTCATGCGCATACATATGTAAATCGATATTCAACAAATTAGTAAAAATGAATCACATTTATATTTATTGTTTTACTTTATTTAACCATCATAATTGATTCAAACGATTAAAAATGATTATTAAATGTTTTCCGAGTTATTTGATTTGTCGGCATTGATAAAAAATGAGAAATGTTTATCGATTAAATATACGATAAAGTTAATTTTTGTTACAAGTATTAATTAAACTTGTATCATTATCAAATATCAAAATTAAACTTAAAGATTATCGATCGATGAAGAAAAAGAAATTGAAAACATTTATTCGTTGTTTAATTTCATACAGTTACAATTTGACATCCCAAATGAATGTTTCAAACAATCGCGCTGTGAACGAGACACAGTTGCCATTCTCCTGCAAGCCGCCGCGAGACAGCTGCGATCGAAGGCCAACTGCGCGCGATGGCCGGCGGGAGCGCGCGCTTTCGCGAGAAGGAAGGGGGACGATCACGAGGGTGGCAGGCGGCGCTGGAGGAGCAGGGGGAAACCGCGATCTGGATAGCGGTGGGTGATATATATACAGAGAGAGAAAGAAAGGAAGTTCGAGAAAGGGGAGCAAAGGGGAGGAAAGCTGGTATCCGTAAACACGCACGCACGCACGCACATCAGGTGGAGCGAACGGAGCGGATCGTGTACTTTGGCACTTAATCTCCCAAGCTGAATGGAAGCATGCTGTGATACAGTGATCAGCCACGGTTCTCAAATCTCCGCTGTAAGAGTTTCTCATATACAACTGCACGCAGGTCGCAGGAGAGAAAAGCAGCGGTTGTCCGTCTATCCGTCTGCTTGTCCGTTTACATTCGCTGCGGCAACTGAGAGAGGGAGAGAGAAAGAAAGACGGCCGACATACGGCGACGCCGCGACGGCAGCACGGCAGCGCACAGTGATACGGCCGAATGATGGTTATGTTAGCGATAAACTGTTCGACGTAACCGCGTCTCGTTCGCGCGTCTACCGGACGCGCACTCGCGTACTCGACATACGCGCGTCTCTCTCGCGCCGCTTTCGCGTTAGTCGCTGTCGTCGCTGTCGTCGCCGAATACTCTGAATAATCGCCAACAATCGCCAACAATCGCCAAGTCGAAGCGTTGCTGCTGGTGCCTTTCTTTCCCGTCGGCCTGTTGTCAAAATCAGCTGCCATTGCTAGATTCGAACTCCTCTTTTCACATTTGAACTCTAGCTACGCAGCTGCTCTTTGGACATTCGTTTCGGCAACTCATTTTAAACTTCTTATTCCTTTTTTTCCGCATAATATTGTGTTGTTGAAGAAAAACCACCGGTTAATTTATCATAGATCTAGTGTGATGATTATGTTTACGTTTTGTAACAAATAAGTCTTTAATTTTTTGAAAAAATTTAGTTTTGCGAGATAAACATGTGAATGTACACACTTGTCCCACTGTATCGAATCTATGTAAAATTTCACAAAGTTCTTATCTGGATTTATAAAACATTTGTTAAATGGCCATTAATACACGCTTAAAAGTACATTTATTCATGTATGCTTGTATAGCTCTGCGAATCCTATAATGGAAACACGAATGATTTTTATTCTTAATCTTGAAGGATATTTTGCAGGTTGAAAAGGCTGAATTTGGCTTGAATTTACATGCACAAGGCCGAAAGAGGAAAATATCGAGATAAAGCAGTCTGTATAAAAATCAGTGTGAAAAGAGAGTGACTGGTGAATTTAATTGAAGACAATACAAAGAGCAAGGGTGATAGGAAAGAACGAAAGTAGTAAATGCAGTGGTTGAGGAAGCGATGGATCCATCGATGTTTGTTGGATACACTCCTCAAACAAACGGAGTTCCAGGAGTTCCATCGGAGTCCAAGCTTGCAACCTATATGGTAAGTCATTGTTTTCTTTAGCATGAAGGACAATGCTTAGATTTCATTTTGGATCATTGTGTACAAATCAATCTATCTTGAACAGAATCGCCAAAGTTCTAGCATAGGATTGAATACGAATTCAGTGATGAAACATTTGTCCAATCTTTCTTTGGATCAAAAGAAGATAACTGCCAGCCCCGAATTCGTGCCTGGAAGAGGCCTTACGAGCAGCAACAGCAGCTCGCCAAATCTCTTTAGCAATTCCTATGCGCATTCACAGGAGAACGTAGGTGGCACAACGTACTTTTATTTCGGGAATGCTACCAGCGATGCAGTCGGAGCTGAAGATGGTGCCGAGGCTGTAAGTGTAAATTTTTGCATTTATCTTGAATTCAGTTGGATCGACCAATGTACACTGATTCATATTAAAACTTGTTGTACATCTTAATCTGTTTAATTGTAAAAATATAACATAAAACATTTTGAAATCCGCAACATATTAAAAAGGATTAAAAACAATCCTATAGTAAAATGATAAATTATGTTGAACATCTTATGATTTGAATTAGAACCACCAAATTTTGCAATTTTTGTGAGACACAAAATAAAATTGATTTTTAATTTCTACGTTACATTTAAATTAATTTTTAAGTTAATCATATTTTGGCTTGGGTTTTTTATTTTGTATTCTTAACGTACATTTTCAATGTGCACTTTGGTCTCCAACGAAATTTGCCAAATTAGATAACGCAGCGAATATAATAGTTTGACGAAATCTTCTCATGCTGTTCTTTTGTCTCATATCAGATCGGACACGTGGCGGCGGGGCAGATCGGCTATGTCTATCCAGGCACACCTTCTCACCTGCATCCCGTAAAACCGGCGAAGCCACCGTCGTCTAATAACTCCTCCGCCCCTTCTACACCTCCTCTTCAAACTGTCCCCAGCTTTTTCGTTAACGAAAACTTGCGGCTGGATATCCTGCAGAAAAACGCATTGACACTGACACAGCCTGATGTAGTACGATTTCCCGACTTACCGAACGAAGTTGACAATTATCACGAGTTGTGTCCTTTAGAGCCGATCCACAAACCCGCCTCGACAGCTCTCGGATATCAAACTTCCACGTACAAGGCCACCAGTATCAAGACAGGCACGCGATACTGTTTACGCCGTGTGCACGGTGAGTTTGAAGCTTTATTGCCGTATGATTCTTTCGATAGTTTTTAATACCATTGGACCCGATGCTCGCAGACTTTCGACTTGCCAATACAAAGTGTATGGTATTAGTTGACATGTGGAAGCGGCTGTCGCACACAAATCTGGTTCAGCTGAGAGAAGTCTTCACCACCAAGGCTTTCGGCGATCATTGTTCGTACATAAGAAGCACACACGTACCTTATCCCGCTCACCTTCGTATATTTACATCGTATTTCACTAATTCTTCGTTTTTCTTTTTCAGCCATGGTTTTCGTGTATGATTATCACCCTGCCTCGGAAACGTTGCTGAATAAGCATTTTGCCTCGACCGAGCTTAACGGTTACACCGATCCGTTCTCATCGGATCCCAACGCGCCACGGCCTTACAGTCACACCAAGAACACTATTCTGAGGCAGCAGCATAGCAGCATGCTGCCGGAAAGTATTATCTGGGGTTACATCATTCAACTCACTGCCGCATTTCGTGTTATTCATGCCGCTGGTTGGTACATCGCTTTGCCGCTTTTCCTCCTCCCCTCTCCCCTCCCACCCTTCTTTCTTTTATTCTTTTAATCCCTCAAGCCACGTTTATGACACGTATATTTAAAAAACGATGATTTGGTTACTCGGTGTTATTCGGTTTTGCAGGCCTGGCATACAGATGCTTAGACCCCACTAAGGTGTTACTTACATCGCAAACGCGAATTCGTCTGAGTTGCGTTGCCATTCCAGACGTAGTGACTCTAGACGGGAACGCGGCAAATCCGCTCACCCTTATCCCACATTATCAGCAGGAGGATTTAGTGGCACTCGGCAAGTTGGTCTTGGCATTGGCATGTCGAAGTCTTATCGCTGTCCACCGCGACAATATGCCAGCCTCTCTCGATCTGATTACACGTTCCTACTCCACTGACCTCCGAAATCTTATTCTGTAAGTAAAAATGTATGATTCGATTCTGAAACTACGTCGTAACAACATTGCCTAATTGAAAACTCTTAATCTTTTCCACTGTCGATAACGCACGTGTGGTGATATTATGTTACAACTTTAATTAGCCAGTTAGATAATTATATAACGCGCAGTAGTCGCAATGAGAGAACGACAAAAGAAGTGTTCTTCGTAACATCAATCAATGAGACTGCAATCTTTAGGTACTTGCTGTCGGATCAACCCCGCAAAAGCGTCACGGATCTCATGCCGATGATTGGTGCGCGATTTTACACACAGCTGGATAATGCTCAGTTGCGCTTGGACGTATTGGAAAATGAACTCGCCAAAGAACTGGAGAATGGACGATTGTTCAAATTGCTGGTGAAGCTAGCAACCATCAACGAGAGGCCAGAGCTTAATATGGAACCCACGTGGGCAGAGACAGGCGATCGTTACATGCTCAAATTGTTTAGGGACTATGTGTTTCATCAAGTAACAGCTGACGGAAGACCCTGGCTGGATCTAGCGCACGTCGTGGCTTGTTTAAACAAGCTTGACTCGGGCTCGCAGGACAAGGTTAAAACTCACCTACCTACCTTGTAACCATTTTGCATTGTAATATTATATATATTTGTAACATGAGATATAATTGGAAAATTATATTACAGATATGCCTCATGTCTCGAGATGAGCAGAGTGTTCTCGTGGTAAGTTATGCGGAGCTGCGACAATGTCTGGAAACGTCATTTGGAGAACTGGTACAATCCACAAAGGACGCTGTTTAAGAGAGTGTCTTCGATAGCGCATTACTCCGAACCATAAATGTGATATCATCACTTAGCGGTACTATCATTTTACTCTTTATCGAAATACTGGAGAGAGTGAGAACTGTCGAAAAAAAAAAAAATGTGTTTGGTGGTATGAGAAATAACGCGCAACTAAGTTTTGTATACATGATTTTGCTCGTCGAATCAATTTAGGTATGTACACGTTGAGATGTGTTGCATTTAGAATATAAGGCGTTATATACTTTCGGATATTTAATTCTTAAGGATCTATAGATCCCCTAGGTTTTTGGATTTTCCAGTTTTTCCAGTTTTTCCAGTTTGGATCTTGGGATCTGTAGACTGTGGAATTCTCTCGTATATTATACTGGGTTCGCATCTCTCAATCTTTGGATTTCAGAGTCTTGATATTATCGAATCTGGGGAAATTGAATGATAGTCCAATGATTGGACTTTGCGGTCCTTTGATTTTCGTTGAGAGCCTTCGAATTCTTTCATCTATCGATCCTTGGATCTTTCAAATTTTGATCTCTGCAAAGTTTAAAATATGCGTATATGGTATCATGTGATTTTTGTGAATCGTCCAGCGTATGGATTCGCTGGAAAGCCCGTTACGGTACTATACAAAATTGTACACAACTTAATAATGCAGTAAATCCATAAGAAATCTTAAGACAACACCTAAACACGGTTCGGTGTTTAAGATAAAGACCTTAGTTTTAGGATACAGGATTAATGGTAAGCATTAATTTTGAAATAAATGTTTATTTTTGAAAGCAATGCTAAACTAACGTTGTCGTTATTTTTTCCCTATTGAAAAATAGATTGTCGATGACACGCGATGGTGCTTGAATAATCGCACGTCGCACGCGTGTACAATTATATTCATGTGTATACTTTGAAATTGGGTATGTATTTATTCTCTCAATGATGAATGTGTGATTGTAAATCATTGACCTCTAATAGTGTTGCGTGAAACGACCTGTAGATTTCTCTCTCTATAGTTCTATTTCTATTTATTCAGCCGCCTTTCTCTTTCCTAGAAGGGATGATCACCATGGCGACGGCAGCGAAGAAGGGGAAGATCGAGCGAGCGGAGCGGGGAGGATATGCGTGGCGCCTGAGGGATGCCGGACTCGCACGACTAACTCATGGGGGAGGGGGATGACTCCGGTCAGCGGCGGCAGTGCCAGTGACGGCAGCAACACGTAGTAGCGACGGCAGTCGACGACATTGCAACGCAACGGAGGAGTCACGCAACAAAGTACAAGTCCGAAGCACAAGTTGTTCATCCAGACGCGCGCCGATCACGTAGTGCTACGCAGCACGGAAGCAGATCCTGCACGTCCCGCAGCATCCTCCACGTCGCGAGAGCTGCGTGTCCTACGGCTACGTTTAGTCGCGCGACAGTACGGAAGCAGCCTCAAGTACGCCTGGAAACTCGATCAAACTTGATTCGCTGCTCGGCATCTCTGGCAGGTGAGTCTTTTTGCGAGAGACCGAGAACGGGACGCCGACGACGCTGCCGCTGCCGCTGC